CAGGGTTCCTCGGGTGGCACTCCACAACAGCCTAACCACCTTGTTCTTTGCTACTGAAGATAACAATTACAATATCTAATTAGTGAATCTTTTTAGGCATTATTATGTAAACTGTTGGGCAAGAGTTTAATCTCGATTTGGACTAACACCTTAACATTTTTAAAGCTACTATAGCAAGTTAAATGGCAGTTGGCAAACTCTAATTATGGTGCTTGGTTCTGCTAACTCTGCTGGGCAATTTAGAGAATAAAGCAATACTACACTTCAGTTCCCAAAAGGATATTGTAGTTCTCCTCATGGAGTGACTTGTAACTAGCTGTGTGACCCCTGACAAAGTATTTAATATTTTGTCACTAATAAATTCTACCAAGCATTTAAGGTAAAAAATTATTCCAACTTTGCCCATATCCTTCAATAATATAGGAGAGGAGGGAAACTTCTTTTACAAGATCACATTTCACTAACCAGGCAATAACATTAAAAGATAAGGAAATTACAGATCAATATCCTTCATGAACATTGATGCCAAAATACCAGCAATTCAGCAGTACCTCAGGAATGCAAGACTGGTTCAATATGTGAAAAACAGTGTAAACCATTGTATCAACATTATAAAGAAAACGATATGATAAATGCAGGAAAAAAACATCTGACAAAATCCAACATCCATCCATGATTAAGAACATTCAGGACCAGGGTGATTTCTCCGGCCGCTGAGAGGGCCCGTGGAGGGGGCCATCGGGTGAGGACCTGAGTGTGGTTTCCAGGCGCTGAGTGGTCCCTGGCCAATAGCTAATGAGAAAACAGCAATCTCAGGTGTACAATGGCAAGGAGCTGAATTTTGCCAACCACCACATGGGCTTGGAAGAGGAGCTCCCAAAGGGAGCACTGCCTGGCTGACACCTTGGCCTCAGACTCCTGAGACCCTGTGCAGAGATTCCAGCCAGGCTCGCCCAGGCATCACCCGACGCTTGGAAACTCTCAGATAATCACGGATTATTTTAAGTTGCTGAGCTTTGTTCATTGGTTACACACAGTAGAAGATGAATACATTCCTATTCTCAAGCCACATCCAAATACTTGTCATTATTTATACCTGGACAGGTTTTCCTACCTGTGACAAAACTTTGTGAGGTTTTTTTCATGCTTTGAGCCTTTTCTTATCTCTGTGTCTAAAACATAACCAAAACGATACCTGAAGCTTTTTCTTGGTAAGCCTAGACATATGTTCTCATCTTTTAAAAAATTAATTGCTTAAATGATTAAATTAGTTTAATTTTTTTTAAAGAACATTCAGAAAAGCAAGGGGAAAAATGTATTTCCTCAGCCTGGTAAGGCTGGAAATCTACAAAAGCTGTGCAGTTAGCAAATGTAATAGTAAGAGACTAAATACTTGCCCTAATATTAGTGACAAGGCAATGATGTACCTGCTGTCACTCCTATTCAACATCTGGAAGGTCTATCCAGGGCAGTGGGACAAGAAAAAAGAAATAAAAGGCACTGTAAAGAAGATTGGAAATAAAACATTATCTGTAGACATGACTGTCTACATAGAAAACTTACAAAATCAAAGAGCTGTATAAGTAAGGCAATATGCTGCATTCATGAATTGGAGGGCAAATATTAAGATGTCTACTCTCAGGCAACCCCCTCAAGTACCCTCCTGCTCTGGGAACTTTTCTATCCTCTCAATAAATCCTGCTTAAAAAAAAAAAAAAAAGAGAGGTCTGCTCTCCTTGAATCAGCCTGTGGAGTCAATGCAATTGTCATCAACATCTAGGCATGTGCCTTTTGGTTTTGAGTCGGAGTCTACTCTGTCGGCTGGAGTGCAGTGGCACACTCACGGCCACCCCGGCGTCGACCCCTTGGGCTCCGGTGATCCTTTCGCCCCAGCCTTCCAAGTAGCCGGAACTACAGGCGCATGCTACCACGCCCGGCTAGTTATTTATTTATTGTAGAGACGAGGTCCCGCCAAGCTGCCAGGGCTGGTCTTGAACCCGTGGGCTCAAGGCAATGCGTTCGCCTCAGCCTCCCAAAGTACTGGGATTACAGGCTTGAGCCACTGCGCCCAGCCTTGTTTTTTGAAGTCAACAAGCTGATTCTAAACTGTATATGTAAAGGCAAAAGGACTAAAATGACAAACTTCAAGATATAAAATTACATATAAACTACAGTAAGACAATGTAGAATTAGTAAAAGCACAGACATGTACATTAACGCAATCATTCAGGAATAGACTCACACATATGTGGTCAACTGCTTTTCAACAAAGGTACAATGAACCTGAATCTACATGTGGTACATATATATGCTATATATAAAGATATCAGTGCAAGTGGATCATAGATCTTAATGTAAAAACTGAACACTATTACACTTCTAAGAATAGAAATAATCTTGTGACCTTCAACAAGGCAAAGGATTTCTCAGGTATTACACCAAAAGCATAATCAATATAAAGGAGATGAAAAAATGGACATTGTGAGAACTAGGAACTTCTGCTCTTCAAAAGGCACTGTTTAGAGTCAAGGAAAAGGCAACCCTCAGATGGAGGGTTTATAAAGCGTTTTTGACAAAACGCCTTGTACCCAGGTTATAGAAGTTAACTAGGAATATGGAAACACAAATTGGCTCCCAATGTTTTACTTTTCAAACGGAGAGATAAAACATGGGTTTCCACCCAATTAGTGAGAATGTGAAAATACGGGCAATCCTGTACACTTACGATGGATCTTTATACAAATAATTTTGGAAGGGCTGACAATATGTACTAAATCTTAAAATACCTAAACAGTCATACCCTTTAAGCTCATATCATATGTTAAGTGGAGAAACAGGACATTACGTGTGATTCTTTTTTCTATAAAAAAAAAATTATATGCCCAGAAAGTTGGGGGTGGTGGCTCACCCTGCAATCCTAGCAGGTCTCCCTGTAAACGAGGGAAAAGGGTAACATGGCACATGGAATGTGAGTTTGCCTGGGGTGGGCAGACTGGGCAGTTCACGCCTCAATGAAATGCCAGTTCGGAATCGTCTTCCATTTCGTTTCTGTGGCTCCCCCAATAAAGTGACTATGCTAGACATCACAGTTGGCAAGTGAGCTCCTCCTCCACCATTGGGTTCTCAAATGCTCCAGGGTCATGTTGAACTGTGGTTTTATGTGGGCATATATGTAAGCTTTGGACTTTCCCTTTATTTGGTCCCTGGTTTGAATTTTAATAACAAAGTTCTTTCAGTGCAGAAACAAAACTCTCATTTATACATGCTGGAAAATGTCCCACAAATGCTGTTCATGACTCACCCAGTGCCCCCTGGTGGAAAAGTTCTCAAATAACTTGTTGCTATTCACAAAGTATGAATAGAAGTAGTTTTTTTAAAACCACATGTATTCGCTTTCTCTCTTATACCAGTTTATCATCTTTTGGTCTCTTTTGGGAAGAAACTAAGCTTTCAAGTGCCTTCTGTCTGATAGGCACTATGCTAGTGAGGAACTTAAGAACTTTTAAGCCTGTAAGGCGGGTGTTAACTCTTTAAGCCTGTAAGGTGGGTACTAGGTTACAGTCTAATACCAGTATGCAATAAGATGTTGAGACAAATTCAGTTAGCATCTGGGAACTCCTCAAAACTTCACAGATAGTCACTAAGCATTTCATTAATACCAAAAAGTGAGTTGTAATATTTTGACATCATATGTATACTTACAAAATGAAGCAGGGTCATTTTCCAAGGCTCTTTGGGGAAGAGGTGTGTAAAAACCCCCTTTTAACCTTTTAAAATGCACACACAGAGCATCAACTATTACCATTCTGAACAGATAAATAAGATACCTAAAATAGTGGTGCTCTCAAATACCAAAGTAACCTGACTTCCTACTGGCTGCCTAGCATACACCTGTCTCCCCCCGCCCCCGTTTCGGCTTGGCTTTGTTCTTCTATACGTGCACATTACTATTTCCATTTGAATTGACGTGTGGTAAAGATGCAGAAGCAAAGTTCCCCAAGGTGGTAATAATGGCCGAAATATCACTAAAAAATGCATCACCAGCACTGCTTAGCTTTCACAACACACAATTGCCTAAGACTCAACACATAAAAGTTACACACTAAAAGCACCTCAGTTTTCATATTTCTAGCTTTCTTTAGGAATATTCCTAACCAGAATAACTTTCATTTGGTTAAAAAAAAAAAATCCTCTTAACTTTGAAAGGAAAAAAGTGCATGGATGCAATTTTTTATTCCAAGAGACTAAGGGCATTACAGAAGCTTAATATCCAGTAGTTAGTTGTTATATAAACACATATCTATAGCGTTTTATAAAATAACTATTCTTATCGCCCAGCCACTAAATAAAGATCAAAGGAGGTTAACAAAACGAAAATCCTTTTTACCTACCACAATCTTTTAAAAAAGGTTACGAGAAAGGATGGAACATGTGTATGTTTATTAGTGGCAAGAGAATAGGAAATACAAGCAACTTGACAAGACTGTTTATTCTAAGTATAATATTTATTAATAAAAAGATTAATCATTACCATATAAAATGAGTGGCTGGGCTTATAGTTTGCTACACCGAAGAAATTAAAAAATTAATACTTGAGAATAATGTTACAATAATTTATAATAGCATTCCTTAATAGAGGCATTTTAACTTTAGCAATATCATTTCTCTTAAATATATAAACTAACCTTTAGTGTTATGGATGAAAATCGTCATAGCTACCAATGAATCAACAGACTTTCCAAGCACTGTATGGTGGTGTTATCTCAAGACATACAACCAAACTTTAGGGAAACCTCCCAAAGAGATCTTCTGGAAAATTTTCAATCAGAACACAGGAAGAATCACTGTTTGGTACTTATGGCAGGGGGAATATCCCACTTGCAAGTGTGATGGATGATAAATAACACAAATTGCCAATGTAGCTAAGATCGCCAGATAAATTAGTAAAAGTGCCATTAAGAATTGTCAGACATGTGTTTAAATACAAATTCAAATCTGTGAAGTTCAAAAGATACAGTAATTTTATTACATAAAACTTCTCCTGTGTGCTTGAAATGTTAACTCACAAGACATAATCTTTGTCATAGTGCTGAGGGAATCATGGCCAACTCATTGAATCATTTTTCATTATCGAAGAAAAGAACAATAGGCAGTGGACACAGAAGCAGCACTCAGAGTCCTCTGAAATTCAAGGCTGTTATGTTACTGCTCAACCAAAATAGACCACCATTCTCTAATAATATAAATGCCTGTTCATCTTTTAAAAATAAAGTCCATCTTTTCTCCATTAAAGCTTCTGTAAGACTGACAAAGGTACATTCTACCTATTAAAAAATAGGAGTACTCTTCATCTTTGGATAAGGTATCACAACTCAGGAAAAATGTAGTCATATACAGATGACCAGATTTTATTTGAGGCAGCTGTTGGAGTTCATTAAGCACTTTTTGAACACTGTACCTTGAAAAGTTTGACTTTAATATAGCTTTGGAAAACCAAAAATATAAGAAAAATATCTGTGGCAAAGTACATCTCATTCTGATTTGATAGCAGTCAAATACAAAAAAAGGTATTTAGTGCAGTGTCAATTTTATCTATGCAAATCACTTGAGTTTAGTTTTCTGCTATGTGATTGAATGACAAAAGAAGTTTTTAAGTTGTTAAAAACGTTCTACAAGTCTTTGACTGAGAATTTTGTAAGGCAAAAATGAAATGAAACACTGTAAAAAGTCTTTAAAACTTAGGTTCTACAATGTTGGTTCCCATTTACAATTTCATTAACAGATGATGAGTATAGATACAATGTATCCGATACCCTCAATAATCACAATAAAAAAACCTCTAGTAGTATGTATAGATTGTGAAATCCTTAACACCAATATATATTCAAAACATGTTTGCACAGAACCAATACCTCTTTCTTCTCCACTTGTTAAAAAAAATTTAACAAAAATACGAATAAAACAATGGAAACCTATTTCATTTCACTGCGCCCAAGGGTATGACACAAAATATTGGTTTAAAGAGGTAGGTTAAAAATAAAAGAAAACCAGATTCTCCATTCTTTGTCACTTTTATTCAGTAGTAGTTTTTTTTCCTTATTTTCAGTGCCAGACATGGCAAGGAGTGATTACAGCCAACTGTTATTAAAACATTTGTTCTTAACACATGCCCCCTTTAGATCACTGACCCCAAACTGACTCATTTTGTGTGCTTTCATTCTTTCTTTTTTTTACTATACCACCACCAAGACTGGGTGGAGGGGCAAGGGTAAGAGAGATGAAGGGAAGAGTCCAGGAGGCCAGAAGAGGAGGAATGCTACAAGCCACAGTAAGAATGAGCTGTATTTAATTTAAAAAATGGGGGAAGGGGTGTACCCCACAGATGATACAGTAATGAGGATACACAATTAAATCCCATAGCATGACTGAAGGCTTTCACTGGGTTTGACGTCATCACAATGGAAGGCATAGAGAGTGGAGTAAATCAATGCTGACACAGTCCAATCTAGTCCACTAGGCAAGACGGTGCAAGAAGTCATTTAAGTTGAAAGTGCCCTACCCTCACCTAAATGGCTAGCAGGCATGGAGAAGACCACAGTGATGAAGCACAGAGCTTTCTCCACGTAGCTATGCGATGTGTTGTCGAACGGCACACTGTCGAACACTGGAAAGGGGCGCCACAATGAACCTCTCTCTCTTATAGGTACGAATGCTAGATTCAACTATCTCAACTAAGCAGGAAGTGGGCTCTTCTGCTAGGAACGCCAACCCTAATTCACTTTGTCTTGAAATATATACAGATTGTTTGTAGTAGCTACAGCAATGATATTTTCCTTGGGGTGCCAGGCTGTGTGGAGGATTTTCTTGTTGAAGTCGAGGCTGTCGACACTTATTTCATCCTTCTTTCGCTTGCCGCTGGCGCAGACTTTGCGTGGCTTCAGAACCGTGCGAGGCTTATTGTTTTCCCGTGATGCTTCTAGGGTTATGTCTCTCTTTGTGTTTCTGTCAAACATTCTGAAGAAATTATTGTATGATCCAGTCATGACAACACTGCAAATGTAAACAGAACACTCAGTCAAGCCAGCAGAACAAGAGACTGTTTTCAAGTAAAATGATTCGGTGATTAAACCAAGTGTAGTGCTTCACAGGAAACACACTTCAAGCAGATTTGAACTATGGGACAGGGCTGCTGTTATCATCTCAATCACTGGAATACACCAGAAATACAGTACTAGTTAATTCATTTTTTTGCCAACTACTCCCTTTCATGACTACCAAAAAGTTGATAGTATCCTTAAGAAAAAAGTTTATAGTACCAAATTGTCTTCACTGAGTATTTCTGCAACTAAAGGCTGTGTGAACATCCATACCAGCCAGCTTCTCAAAACAGCAACCATCTGTGGAACTCATAGCTTCTGAAACTAAAAATAACTAAAACCAACAATAACAACAATAAAAAACACTTGAAATAACTTTTCACAAGAAACCAATGGTTTATGATTTAAATTTGTTCTTAGCGGTCTGATTCAGATAGTCACATCTTATGAATGCTTACAGTATTAAGAATCTGATCGTAAGATTATTTGGGAAGCCAAGGCAAGAGGACTGCCTGAGCCTGGGGGTTCGAGACTATCCTGGGCAACTTAGTGAGACCTCGTCGCTACAATAAATCACAAAAGCTAGCCGGGCATGGTGGCATGTGTCTGTGGTTCCAGCTGCTTGGAAGGCTGAGGCGAAAGGATCAGCCGAACCCAACAGGTCAAGGTTGCGGTGGCCGTGAGAGTGCCCCTGTGCCACCTGTATTCCAGCCGGGGCTTGACAAGTGAGACTCCAACTCAAAAAAACCAGTAGTTTTATTTTTATTAACAGAAAATCATTTTACTTACACTACTACATACATTTTAAGCAAGTATGTGTAAATGTTATCAGCTAACAGGAGGGCCAAATTCTGAGGCTGCCCAAACTGTCCATTACTGCTCAACATTCCTCCGCACCTCACAGATGGAACTTCCCAAGGCTGATGTCCTTGGTGATCTGGAGAGGGTCTGCTGCTACCACTATGTAGCACATGGTACCAATTATTATTGCAAATTACAGAATATAAGGAAACTGCTCAAAATAATGCTTATTATACAAAGGTCATCTATTAAATACAAATAATTATAATCTATTTAGTAATGTCAATTCCCCCCAAAGGACACTTGACAACAGTTTTAATAAAACTCAAGTTGATGCGGTGTGTCCCTGCAGATAATAAAACCTGATTTCTTTTCAAATGTAGGCTAATATCCCCCCCCATTATCTGAATTTGTGAGGTTTTAATGAATTAGGACACCTAGTTGAAGGCTATTTGTAACTTTTTTTCTTTAGTTGGAGTCTAACTCTGTCACCCAGGCTGGAGTGCAGTGGCATGTTTACACGGCTACCCCAGCATCAACTTGCTGGGCTCCTGCGATCCTTCTGCCTCAGCTTTTCAAGTAGCCGGAACGACAGGCACGCGCTACTGCACCCAGTGAATTTTTGATTTATTGTGGAGACAAGGTCTTGCCAAGTTGCCTGGGTGAGAAACATCCTACTGGCCTGCGTTCTTCAGAAGTCCCATAATCACAAAAGACAAGGAGAAAATGAAGAACTGAGTAAAATATAAGATATGACAACTAAATGTAACATACGATCTTGAATTAGACACTGGGTCAGGTATTTGTTTTCTGTACTATAAAGGACACGACTACAATAATGGAAAGATCTGAGGGATCTGTGGGCTGGATGGCAGTACAGCACGCATACTGCTGCTTCACATGCTGCGCTGTCATTATTTTGGAGAGTGTCTTTGTCTTTCAGAAAATACCCAATAAATAACTTAGGCTGATGGGCATCGTTTCTGGAATTTACTCCCATTTGGTGCACAAGAAAAAAAGTGTGTGTGTGTGTACACGTGTACTTATATCAGACAGATACAGCTATAAATAAACAAAAGGACAAGAGACCATGATACAGCAAATAGCAAAGGCTAAACAGAGTTATTTTACCAAATTTTCTCTAACTCTGAAATTATTTCCAAAAAATTTTAGCATTAAGGGAAATAAGTAACTTACTATTGATGATATAACATTAACTTAAAATTGCTAACAATATACTCAAACAATATGACAGAGATAGTTGTGGCAGTGTACTGAATTTTAGTGTAACAGTGTTTTTTCCTCTTCCAATTTATTAATTTCTTTCCTTTCCTTCCTCGTTGATGTCTCAGGATTAACAGCGGCACTCAAAGGCAACATTTGCTTATTTCTACTAATATGACTCCAGGTTTACTGCAGCCAGCCTATTACTGGTCCTCATGTCAAAAAGCAGACAACGACTGTATTAACCAGACAAAAGAAAGCATCCAAGTTGTACTGTCCGCTATAACACATAACAGCATAAAGCCTGAATCGTATCAAGCTGTAGGATAAAACTATTGCCAAATAAAGTACATCTAGTTACTTTAAATGCAAGTTTAAATAATTCCAAAATTGTTCTATTTTACTATTTTCTGTTCTATTGGTAAATAAATTCTGACAACTAAGATTGAGAGCAAGACCTATTTATCTTCGGAAATAATGGCAACATTTTGATGATACTGAAAATGAATCATGCTGTGGCAAAACTGGAAATGATAAAATGCATAACTACTCATGATAAATGGTTGAGATACTATATATGAGTTACTACTTATATGAGGTCATACTGCAACTGGAAAAACTGGTGTATAATAATCCAGGTTAAATATCTGTCCGCTAAATTTTTCTAAAACCAGTATAATGGTAGAATAAAACTAAACTGAAATCTCATCAATTTATCTGTTATCATGTCAGAAATGTGACTTATCTGGTTCATAATAGAAAAAGTCAAGACATTTAAGTAAAAATTTAGATATCAAGATTTTTGTGTATTTTTGTATTTACTAGTGAAACACAATGCTCAATTTTTACCTGCCAGTAGTGTTATACTATATCCAAAAGATCAGTAAATTTACTTCAAGGAATCTCTGGCAACAAACAAAATTAGGACTTTGAATAAAACTAAGTTTTTTCCTCTAATAAAATTCATATTTGAATGAATTCTAGTTAAAATCAATTACCTGTCAGATCCATTCCAACAACATTCGAATTTGTCAAATATGCAGTCATTTTCATACAGTGAACAGAGTTTACTTCTGAGGTATTCATGAACCTGGGAGCAAAACACACATGTATCGATCACACGTATACTTGGTTTACCTAAAGATCTAACCACTGAAATTAGGAAAATTAATTTAAAAGTCTGCAATTAAATAAAAAGACATATAGACACATACACACATCTTTTTAAAATTATTAAATTTCAATCGTCTTAGTAACAATAAAGGTATCTTACACTTTTATAAACACACAAGCCCCTGCCAGGTAGACACATTTTCTACAGTATGACAAAGACTAACTCCCTCTGGGCATGGCACACATACCCTTAATAAGCCTGAATAAAACATTCAGGCCAGAAAACATTTAAAGATGGCACAGACAAGAAACTAATAAAAAAATTATAGCAATATCTGGTTATCACTACTTGGCTTTCAGTTTATCAGCTTCTGGTAACAACACTGAATATGTACTTTCTCTCCTTTTTAAAATACAATTTTCTGGGCATAAATTAAATGCATGTGCTATGCAATAGCATAATTAATGCCTGGTTTGGTGATAAATTATATGGTCATTCTAGGTATGCATTGTAGAAAATTTGATAGCATCACTTGATATTACTTATACAATATCAAAAGCTAGTAAAGAACGTGCCTGTTTGTTGTGATTGAAGAAAAAACAAAGTATCTATCTTACTATCTTTTTTTAAGGAGACCCATTAAAGAGAAATAATGACAGAAGTGAGTAAGTACCTTCTAAATGCTTAGCATTCTCTATTCTACAGGAAAGAAGCTAAACTCATTTTCAGGGTCCATCTTAACTTCACGTATCGGCCAGGTGCAGTGGCTCACACCTGTAATCCCAGCACTCTGGGAGGACAAAGTGGGAGGGTTACGTGAGCCCAGGAGGCTGAGACTAGCCTGGGCAACACAGCAAGGCCCGTCTCCACAAAAGATCCAAAGGTCAGCTGGGCATGAGGGTGCTCTCCTGGAGTCCCAGCTATTGAGAGGCTGACACGGCAGGATCGCCTTGCGCCCAGGAGTTCAAGGCTGTGGTGAGCCGTGATCACGCCACCGCACTTCAGCCTGGTGACAGTGAGACCCTGGCTCAAAAACAAAGAAACCAACAAAACTTTATATACAGTGGAATGATCCAGGCCATGTCTATGTGACATAATGTGAAAATCTGTAAGAAAAGAGGAACTGCAACCCATACAGGGTTAGGATCCAAGTGAGCATATGGCCAGGTGCAACGGCGAACGCCTGTAATCCCAACACTTAGAGAGGCTGAGGCGGGTAGAATGCTTGAGCCCAGGAGTTTGAGACCAGCCTGGGCAACACAGCGTGTCCCTACAACAACAGCAACAACAACAAAGCCAGGTGTGGTGGCACGTGCCTGCAGTCTCAGACATTTGGGATGCTGAGCTGAAAGGGGTCACCTGAGCCTCGGAAGTCGAGGCCGCCATGAGCTATGAGCATCGTGATCATACCACTGCACACCAACCGGGATGACAGAGTGAGAATCGACTCAAAAAAAAGTGAACATGTAATACAAAAAGGTAGTAATACCAAAAATACCCTTCTATCACAAAAACTCAGTAAGACACTTGTATAAACTCAATAAAAATAGTTGTGCCTATATAAGATACATTTTTATACAACGTGACTCAAGCACTAATCCAATTCAGCATAGGCAGAAAATAGTAAATCAGGTAGATCATCGTAATTCAGCAACATTTGGGAAAGCATGTAGCATAGGGTTTTTCATGAAACAATCTGAGTATAAAGCCAAGGTTCAGAGCAAGTATTCTCCATGGGAACGAGATGACAGTGAGGATGACAAGGGGATCCATCTGTCTGGGGTTACACAGTTGTTCCTTGGCATACACAGGGGGGTTGGTTCCAGGACACCAGTGTGTACCCAATCTGTAGTTAGCCCTGCAGAGCTCTTGTCTATGGAAAGTTCCACCCTCCATATATGCAAGTTTGGCATCTAATGAATACTCTTATCTTTTATCTGTAGTTGGTTGAAAGAAAATCTGTGTTTAAGTGGATCCACGCAGTCAAACCTATGTTATTCAATGGTCAACCAAATTTTCAAAACAGAGGAGTCATTTCATCACTGGTTTTAGTTTCAATGCAGTATTTATTCTGAAAATTCAAATACTAACTTAAAAAATCTTGAGTGGTTTATGTTTGTCAAAGAAGATTTAAAAGTTTGAAAAACATCGTTCCAATTGTATTGAGAACATATACCACAAAGAAGGTACTACCGAAAAATCCTGCATTCCTAATGCAGTGTTAGGTGTTTTCTACATTGCAGCAGTCCTGAGCCCAACACAGGTTATGCTGGCCTCCACCCTGTTCTGGGCTGTGTCCTTCCCTTCTCTACCTCTGACGCAGTGGGCATGGATCAATGGGAGTGGCCGGCTGACAAGAGCATTAAGAACTGACACTCGCAACAGATAGGCAACTCGTAAAGCCACTGCTGAGCTTTCAAGCCCTCCTCCTTAAGCTTAAGACAACGGCTATCTGCCAAAAGGCAGAATACCAGTCCACTAGACTCGGCATGCCAAATTTAAGCTCCCGTTCAACTATGCCTGCACATAAGCCCACCGGAGCACGAGCACCTTTCCGGGAATGGCCACTCTCCCCAGTCCTCTTCCTTCCCCACTTTCAATGTATGTGACAGCGGGGGAAAAACACTTGTCACTACTGAACCAGTGGGCAGCAAAATAACACTGCAACTGCAAAATTGAAGCAACAACACAACCCATGTAAGTGTATATACATTGAACAGAAGGGAAAGCAACGTACTCATGGATCTCTGAGGGAGAAAGCCTAATGGTGAACAAACACTGTTATTAGGATTAATCCCTAGTACAAAATCCTTCTCTATGAACACTTGAAAGTAAATAGGGTATATGCTCATTTAAAGAAAAAACTGCAAATACCTGGTATGTTTCCACAGGCCTGTTTTCCATATTTAAGTCCCAAATTTTGACTGACAAATAGTCTCTAGTCATCATATATCGACCACTATGGCTGAATTTTACATCAGAAATAGAGGAGATGATTTCGGAAAAAAATGACCTGTTACTGGGATCTTCAGGTTCTTCAAACACTAAAAACAAAACAACAAAAAAGGGCAAGGTATACAATATTCTGGCTTGGACAAAGCATTTCCTAAAACAACTATTCACAAATTCCCTACGGTTGAAGTAAAATGACAGGCTACTAAGGAAATGAAAAACAACTCTCTGGCTAGAATTCCCCTGAAATTTTCTTAAGAGAACGACAATACTGAAAGTGAAGATGCAAAAGTATGCAGTGTACTTCCAGAGTCGCATGGCAAATTTAGCAGAACCAGACTCACCTGAACCTTCTGACTTCAATGCACCAGGTTGGTACGTTCTGCAACATACCACTCACTGACTCTGTTTATGTCACCACAAGAAACATGCCATCCTCACCCATCCACATTCATATCAGGATTTTGTTTTCTAGTGGCCAGGTAAAATCATTTTGGTAACACGCATGTACCAATTTTCATGAGTTTTAGAAATACTCAAAATGAAGACAAAAATACTGCAATCCCTTAGAGTCTTTTAACCCAGTGTTTTTCAAACTTTTTTTTTTCCAAAGCCAATACAATCTATTCTCTGAAGAAATCTTAGGACGCTCAAAACAGAAAGGGAGGAAAGGAGGAATGAGGAGGGAAAACTGGAAAGAAAGGAAGTGCTCTAGCTGTATACAGAGATGGAGAACCTAACCGTAAGTTCTAGCAGCATTCCACTAGAAACATATATGTATTGGGGATTAACACATATGTCCCCAAGAAAGCCTGACTATGTGCTGCCAGGGAATAACCTATGGCGCCTCACACAGACACAGGCGGTTTTTCAAAGGGTCCAAGAGACCCTGGACACACAGGTTCGAGGCTTGAAAACCTCTGTAATTGTACTCACCATGCCTGAGGCTCATTTCAGACAAAGAGAATGTTACTGTTTGACAGAAAGACGCAATGGACTTACGTTTAGAATGCCTATCGCAGAGGGCAGATGCCCTCATGTCACACAACCGAATAGTTCCTTTACTGCTGCTGTATACAAATGTGTTACAGCTGTTTGGATGGAATTCTGCTGCTGTGATCACCTCAGTTAGCTCTTCCATATTGGCAGGCTTGATATCCACAATATCTGGATAGCATTTTATTAAGGAACTTACACTCAGAAAAAAGGGCAAATATAATTCGACATTTCTCAAACCTAAAATCCACTCACAGACAGAACCTGCCCAAGTACTGACTCTGCTTGCACTTCACTCTTCACGGGCAGTAGCATTAAAACGCCTTTTCACGTTGACAGGGAAAGGAAAGGGGCTCTCTTGTACATGGCTGGTAGAGTCTGAGTTATGGTAAAGCTTCGTTAATTTTCCAAATGGTATCTACTGAGACAATATGTATATTAACAGTAGTAGTAACAGCTGAAAAAAGTTGTCAACAAAAAAAGTTAGAAACAAACACATGCATATACATCTCTGTATTTATATGCATATATTACATGCAGGTACACAGGAACATATGCTTATTTTTGACACACTTGTATATTAACAGAAGAATTTCAGGAATATATTATAAACAGTAGACATGGGGCTTAGAAGTATTTCTTCAGTTAGAAATATTTCTATTGACCTGATTATACATCATGACTTCCATGAATTTCTTTTCCCAACCCCAATGAAACTGTTTTGTAACTAAAAATTTAAATATAATACCTCACAGATTTGATTCTTTTAAATTTTTTTTATTTTTATTTTTATTTTTTATTTTTGAGTTGGAGTCTCACTCTGTCACCCAGACTGGAGTGCAGTGGCCGCTCCCGGCCACCACAGCCTCGACCTGCTGGGCTCCAGGGATCCTTCCGCCTCAGCCTTCCAAGTAGCCGGAATTACAGGCATGCGCTACCATGCCCGGCTGATTTTTTGATTTATTGTAGAGATGAGGTCTCGCTGCCCAGGCGGGTCTCGGACCTGCGGGCTCAGGCAATCCACTCACCTCAGTCTCCCAAAGGCACAGGATTACAGGCTGAGCCACCGAGCCCGGCTAAATCTTTTTAAATAAGAGACAAGGTTCATGCTCTGTTGCCCAGGCTCACTACAGCCTTGAACTCCTGGGCTCAAGTGGCCCATCTGTCACAGCCTCCTCCAAGTGCCAACACAACAAGCTTTTTTTTTTTTTAAAGAGGTCTGGCTATGTTACCCAGGCTGGGTTTAAACCCCTGGTCTCATGTGATCTCCTTCCTCAGCCCCCAAAGTGCTGGGATTACAGCAGTGAGCCACCATGATTGGCCATCACAAATTGGATATTTTTAAGCAGAAACATTCAAGTTAAAAAAATTCCTATTTTCATAGACAGAACAGACACATTCCTTACAATGAGATGAATCCTATTTTTAAATCAATACATTATGCCCCGTTGGAGAATCAATTGAGTCTAGGCGTTTGAGATCAGCCTGGGCAACAAAGTGAGATCTTGTCTCTATTTAAATAAATAAATACATACATCATGCCCTTTATGTTTATCAAATAACTTCCTCTAGTGTTTACTCAAACACCAAAAGAAAGAGAGGCCACATATATAAAAAGAAAAGAAGGATCAAATTACATTAAGAAGGAATGAAAATAAATGCAATTCTGGCCGGGCTCAGTGGCTCAGCCTGTAATCCCAGCACTCTGGGAGGCCAAGGCAAATGGATTGCCTTGAGCCTGTGGGTTCGAGACCAGCCCAGGCAACTTGGCTAGACCTCGTCACTACAACAAAAAATCAAAAATTAGCCAGGTGTGGTAGCACACACCTGTGGTTCCAGCTACTTGGAAGGCTGAGGCGGAAAGATCACCAGAGCCCAGCAGGTCAATGCTGTGGTGGTCTTCAGTGTGCCACTGCACTCCAGCCTGGGTGACAAAATGAGACTCCAACAATCATCGATCAATCAATCAATCAATCCAATATTGACACAATATGCTTTCTTTACCAAACACTAAAAAATGGAAACCAAATGGAATGGATACTAAAACTTCTATCTGTAATTTCCAGATGCCAAAGATTAATCCGCAAATCGTCTGCAGATAAATATGTTTCATAATCACTATTAATAGAAATTGAGTTGATGTGATATGTATGAGCATTGGCAAATATTCTTCGTGGACTGGCCTCGACCATTAGATCCATGGGCCTAAAGACTGGCACCTGTCAATAAGACACACAGAAAACAGAAATTACAAAGGCTCACTGTTTCAACCTGCTGGTAAGGTTCAGACAGTTTCATTATTTTAGCTTTTCAGAAACATAAAACGGTACTACGCTACACTGATTTGGTTTTAAAGCAACTGATGTTGATCCTTTCAAGTGATGAAACGAGAAGAAAAACAAACAATTTATCCTCTTTTACCAATAGGAATACTATTAGAATTTGCATTCTTAGTTCTAATCTTTTGCTTGAAAACATGCCAAGCTAATAAATGTTTACAGTTCAAATTAAAGAAGCTAAAAAGAAAACCCACAGCATCGAATTCTTGGTACCTTTAAGCTACAACTATAAGATCTGCTCTTTTTGTCAGTGGTATCTCTCAGGAAAAGGAAAAAAAAAGATTTGGTCTATATTTTTGATCTCCAAAGAAAATTAATCTTGAAACTTCACCTTGCTATAGCTGTCATTTTAACCATTTTAACCATGAGATTAAAAGAATATGTTACAGTGTGAAACACAGTCTTGTGTTTGAGCCTTGGTTCTGTCCCTGACTTCAGCGAGACCACTATGTAGGTCAGTTTCTATGTTTATATGGGCGTTACCCAATATTCTATCTGATTACAGAATTACTGAGGAGGGAAGGATACATTGTAATTATTCCTATTTCAAGTTCTGCTCAGGATCTAGGCTATGTGGTATGAATACTATCATATCTTTTTTTACACACTTACTCGTAGTGTGGTCACTGTAGTAGGATCTCTATACCTTCCATCTTCCTCTTTCAAGTTATACCCTTCCGGTCTCTTGTCCCTTTCGCTGATTTTCCATAATTTTATAGTTTTATCTGAGGAGAGATTAAAGAAAGTTCTTAAAATTAAAAAGGGCAAAACTGATAGAAGAAAAACATGCTATGGCATTTAAAGGAAGCCATTTCATATTTCACCTAAAAGGATTTTAAGGAGATAAAAGACCTGTATCTGACTTACTAAAACATTTCCTATTAATCAAGTGAATAAAAACATATATATACATGGAAATAAAGTACAGAAATCACACATTTGTACATTAATGGCACTCATGTAAAATTCCATGTGCAATTCATACCAAGTCACAACTAGTTCTCTCTCCTTTAAAATAACTAAAGCTAGAGGAAAAAATTGTGTAGGTATGTGTATGCAAACACAGATAGGTATATAAATACGTATATACATATACTCAATTTTTAATAACTTTAAAGAGAATTACCAATGAAGTCAGTTAAGCTGCCTGTTAATTAGAATTAAAATGGCAAAGTGTTATCTCCCTTGGTCTCACTTGCTAGCAGATTCTATCAAAGACCCCACAGAGTCCTTCACAGGATTAGATGCCGCCTTTTAAAATCTATCTTTTCCTCTCTTGCATCAGGGACTCATAAGCAGGAAACAGGATCTGAAGAAAATTGACTAAAATCTTATGCCCCCAAGTCCTTCAAGAAGACAAAATTCCCAGGTATCAAGAATATACAGCCAGGTGTGGTGAGTCATGACTGTAATCCCAGCACTTTGGGAGCTGGAGGCGAGAGAACTGCCTGTGCCCACAGGTTTGAGACCAGCCTGGGAAAAATGTGACATCTCGCCTCTACAATTAAAACAAACAAACAAACAAACAAAAAACTTAGCTGGGCATAATGGTGTATGCCTGTAACAGTATCTTTTTTTTTTTTTTGAGTTGGAGTCTTACTCCTACCCCGGCGATCCTTCCACCTCAGCTCCCCAAGTAGCTGGAACTACAGGTGTGCGCCACCATGCCTGGCTAATCTTTGCGATTTATTGTAGAGCCAAGGTCTCACCAAGTTGTCCTGGCTAGTCCTGAACCCCTGAGCTCAAGTAATCCTCTCACCTTGGCCTCCCAAAGTGTTGGGATTACAGGCTTGAGCCACCATGCCCGGCCAAAATAGCATCTTTTAAAAAATAAACTTTTATTTTGAAATTAAGTTCAGATGTACAGAAAAGCTTTAAAAATTGTAATGCTCCCATATACCCTTCACCTGGTTTCTTTTAATGCCAACATCTTACACCAGCAGTCCCCAACCTTTTGACACCAGGGACTGGTTTCAGAGAAGACAATTTTTCCATGGACAGGAAGGAGGGGGCTGTTGTGGGCTGCTTCCAACACACACATTTATTGCGTATTTTATTTCTATTAGGATTACATTGTAATATATAATGAAACAATGATACAACTCACCATAAAAAGCAAAAAATAGTGCAGATGGGAGTGGTAAATAAAGTAATGGGCAGGCCGTTCGTGGACTAAAACTCAGCTTCAGATCCTGACCTAAAGCCTGCCACCAGATGTAGCTATACAACTGAATTCATCAACTCATTTGCCACTCACTGACAGGGCTTTGACCTGAGTCTGTACTGTCAGTTTGATATGAGTCATTAGGGTCTCTGTGCAGCCCAACCTGTGCTAATGTTAATCGGTATTTGTAGCTGCTCCCCAGTGCCAGCATCACCACCTCAGCCCCACCTCAGATCACCAGGCATGGATTAGGTTCTCATAAGGAGCAGGCAACCTAAATCCCTCACATGCGCAGTTCACAATAGGGTCTGTGCGCCTATGGAGAATCTAATGCCGCCTCTGATCTGACAGAAGGCAGAGCTCAGGCAATAATGCAAGCGATGGGGAACAGCTGTAAATACAGATGAAGTTTTGCTCACCTGCTGCTCACCTCCTGCTAAATAGCCCCGGCTCCTAACCAGTCTGTGGCCCAGGGGTTGGGGAACCCTGTCTTATGCAACCATTTGTCAAAATCAAGAAATTAACATGCATCTTACTGTTAACTCAACTACAGTCCTCACTCATGTTTCTTTTCTTTTCTTTTCTTTTTTGAGTTGAAGTCTCACTCTGTCACCCAGGCTGGAGGGTAGTGGCATCCTCCCAGCCACTGCAGCCTCGACCTACTGGGCTCAGGCGATTCTTTCACCTCAGCCTTCCAAGTAGCTGGAACTACAAGCACACGCCACACGCCCAGCTAATTTTTTTATTTATTGTAGAGATGAGGTCTCGCCAAGTTACCCAGGTTGGTCTCGAACCCACGAGCTCAGGTAATCCCCCTTGCCTCAGTCTCCCAAAGTGCTGGGATGACAGGCTGAGCCATCAGGTCCGGCCTCTCACTGATATTTCATCAGGTTTTCCGCTAACATGCCTTTCCTGTTCCAGGATCCAAACAACACTGCATCTAGTTACCAAGTTTCCTTAGTCCCTCCAACTTTAACAGTTTCTCAGACTTTCCTTAATTTCCTTGAGCTGGACAGTTTTGAGTAGTGGTGGCCAGGTGTTTTGTAGGAAATCCCTCAACTGGTTTTGCCTGCTGTTGTCTCATGATCAGACTGAGACAATGGAGTTTCAGGAAGAATGCAGGGGTGAAGTGACTTCTCATGGTATCATTTAAGAGGATTAATGTTTACCACCATGGCTGATCCCTCCTCGCAGTGCTAACTCTTGTCACTTGGTTACGATAGAGTCTGCCAGGTTCCCTACTGTATAGAGAATGCCTCTTGCTACACTCTATTCTTTGGAAGTGAGTCACTAAGTCCAGCCGATGCTTAAAGGGAGCATCAGTTAACCCGTCCGTAGGGAGCATTATGTATCCACATATTATCTAGATTCTCCTGCAAGAAGCATCCCTTCTCCCAACTTATTTACTTAATCATTTACTAATGTCACTATGGATGCATGTATGTCTATTTAAAACTCTGTTATAATCCTAAAATAGTATTCTTATATCTTAAAAAATAGCGTATAAAGCCATTTTGTGAAAGCACTTAAAAACAACTCTTGGAGAAGGATGCCAGGGACCCTCTGGCCTGGTCAACCTGACCTGCCTTGTAGAGAAGAGCACGGCCGTTGCCCCTGCAGATGCCCTTCTCAAAGACGAGTGTAAACAGAGAAAAGCTGCTAACTTCATGACGTGCAATCCATTACTTCTTCCAAACCCTATGTAATCTTGTTTCTAATTAAATTACAGTTAAATCATATGTTTTTTGTGTGTTACTTGCTTCATGTATGTCTATATATACACAGATATGAGCCTAGCCTAAGTCCTGTATTTTGGGAAATATTTGTTCTAAAATCACTATATGAAGATAATGATGTCTTGTGACCTGTTTAAATCCATCATTCCTATTAAAAATCCAGATACAGAAACCACAATATATTTAACACATTTTCAGATGAGACAATATTAGTTAGTGGTTCCTAATAGTTTTATAGGATGGTTTAAAAATTCTTTTCCAATAACAGAAACTAATACAAAATCAAAATCCTTACGCTCTGCAGTAGTGGTTGTTTTCACCTGCAATTTTTGGCCCATATGGGGAGGTATGTGAGAATAACCAAACTCCGTGAAACTACACAAGATCCTGCAAATATACACTCTTCAAAGAGGGAAATATTCTCAATAAGGTCTGTTCCTTCCAAAACTGTCATTCTGTGGTGTTTCCCTAAACTGTCAACACTACTAGCCAGAGTGCAGCAAAAGTCCCTGTGTCCCTCTTGCCACATGTTTCTTTTGTGGGGATGCAGTTTTACAGAGCATCCTAAAAACTTCTTATCAACAAGCTGTTAAAACACAATCTACTTATAAGTGAACTTTATATTATTCATATAGTCAAGACCCATGGTCAACATGGTCAGAGTGACAGAAGATTAAAGGGAAAGAATAAAAACACTTGAAAAAACTAAATGAACTGAAGCCATAAGAAGGTGATATGAAGTCATTACACAATTCTAATTCTCACTGAACAACTTTGTATATACGAGACAACACTTCTTACAGTTATGTGGCACGTTGGGAAGACGGCAATCTGCTGGTGGGAGTCAAGTAAGGAGTGTGTTCTCCTAGAGAGCACCCTGAAGGAAGATGCCATCCTCTGAGGGAGTATTCTGATTCACAGTTTGAAATACCTTGGTATTGTCAGGGTACTCTTAAAAAGGAGGAAGAAAGGAAACTAACATGTTTTGGGCATCTGCACTCTTTATGTATTCAAAGAGTTATCAAAACTACCATCTCCTGTTTGCTGATGAGGAAACTTCAACTCAGTGTTAGAAAGCTGCCCAAGGTTACGACACTAAGAAGTGGGAGAATCAGTATCTGACTTAAATCCAAAGTTGTAGCAGCCCATTCTTTTCACGAGGTGTCTACTAAACAAGACATGGTGGATCCTGAAAATCTAAAAACTGTAAGTGAACAACAAAAAAGCAAAGAAGTAGGATCTGCACTGTATACAGAAAAGGAAAATGTCCTTTGCTCAGATTTCTGTTCACAGAGTTCTCTTAACAACACTCTCTCTGGAAAGGGAAGAGTACATTCTGGGGGACGTGCACCCTAGGCACGCAAAAAGGAAAGATGTCTACTTACCATTGGTGGACAGTAAGAACTGAGCGGCATTCTTCTGGGGCAACCACCTAATTTTGTTGATCTTTTCTTCTATTTCTAAACTTTTCAAGTAGTCAAACTCTGGTTCATGGCTCTGGAAGGTGCTGTAAACATTATATTCTCCTCTGCTATGAGACTGGATTTTGTTCTAAAATGGAAACAAAAATATTTGGACTATTGTTGAAAAATACTTCAAAATAATCAAACATGTAGTCCATTCCAACACACCCTGAAAATTCTAGACAGCCCAGCCAAAGAAAATCAAAACAAGCAAACAACAACAACAAAAAACAGGCTAATAAAGCTCAATAAATAAGCAAGCCCAATTCATTAGGAAAATGGTGACATTAAAATGTAAATCAATCTGATTACTAATTTACTATTTTATATTTAACAGTACAGAAGCATACTGATGAAAAAACTCTGAGCGTCCACAATGAGGAAGATCATTCAAAAAGTAATGACTAAAGAAAAGCTTGCTCAGAAACAGCTGGCTGAGGCACACCTCCTTTCTCTGCCCACTTGAAGACCAGTTCCCAGTCTTTCTGATGCCTGCTGAAAAACTCTTAAAAGAGCTCTAGGAAATGCAGTGACCCCCATCTCAACCCAATTTCTCACCCTAATATCACTGTTCTAGACAACTCTGGTCCGGATCAAGTCCATATTCAGCATTACTCAGCAATGGTCCATTCACCCCCACCAAAACTGCTTATCCTCCTTAAATTAGCCTTCTTATGAACCTTGCACACACTGATACTTAATTTCATTTAGAATCAGTTTTAAAGAATGTAATTGAAACTGCTGAATAAAGAGACTACTTGTGAACTATTTCAGTTAACACTAATACCTCAGCAAAAGTAAGAATTATAATCATGTTCAGAATTTCATCTTCTGACCTATCAGGACGCGATCAAAAAGACGTGATCAAAAATGTTTTCATCAAAAAACCATTGAAAATCTAGTTCAAAGAAGAACCTATGGGAAAATAGTTTAAATAAAAAAATAAAATTGGATATTACTGATAGTCAACTATTTTAAGTGAAAGTGAGTTATCTAGCAAAATGTTTATGATTACTTGGTAATAAAAAATAGCCTATTTTATTCTCTGTATCAAAAGAAAACCTCATTGAATCATCCTGAAAATGTACGTTTTAAGTTTAAAATGCATGTATGTTTTTCCCGGCAGCTTGATGATCTCTCAATGGTTCATTCATGGATCCAGCTATATTTGAACCCCTGAACAGCAGTAGCAATTATTAGTGAGTGGGTCTGCCAATGTTAAGAAGACAGAATGAACCTCAAAACGTAATCCACACTGGGCACGCACAAGGAGCAAAAATCAGACTCAGGGTGTTGGTCTCATTATCATGCTCGTACAACCAATTAGCCCAATCCATTACACATATATAATCAAATATCACTTTAGAATTCCATAAATCTCCACCTATAATTACTCACCCAATCTCACAAGGTTTATCATTATACTCTCCAAGGAAATTGAGATACACCGAGCAGCAATTCGATTTTTAATATGAATGCTATTTTACACTTTGGTTTTCATTTCATTCTTAAACAAGATACTATAGTGTATAGTACTATGTACACCAGGCCCTAGAGAAATACAGATCTGATAACCTTCAAGTAACTTATAGATGTAAAACTTTAGTCAAAAGTGGAAACTTAGGTCCGTGCAACTCAGGTAAGCAATGTAAAGAGCCAGCACAAACCACACACTGTATCTGGTGTGAGTAAAGAAAAGCACAAATCTGCAAAAATAGTCTGAAACAGAAACAGAAAGTCATCCTGAAGACTCAAGGACAACAACATGGGTCTAAACGTGACCTCTAAACATAAACCACAAACAAAATCACACAGGTGTCTGGCAGTCTCAGTGGACTCAAGAAGCATCTCTCTTTGCAACAGGAAAAAAAGATATCAGATAAGGAGAAAATTATGGCTAAAAAACTGAAGATGCCAGATTGAGCACATGCACTAGCATCTCCTTGCTCCTGAAACTTTATGAAGATTATGGTCAAATAATTTTTTAAAAAGAAACAAGTCCACAGGACAAAGAATAATGGCAGAAACGACAGCCGCTGTAACAAAATAGAACAGGCTATGAACAGATGTGTCTGAGTGGTAACTGACAGCAGGCGCAGAGCATACATACCCTTAGCCAGAACGACTTTTCCCAACACTTGGGGAGGGGTGTTCAGATTCTCGAGATAATGACAGCACTGTTCTCTGTATGAATTGACTATAGTGAGAAGTCTAAATAAAAATAAACATAATTTTATGTCCTCTGCACTGTGCCACTCAAATGAGAATACATTAAAGTCAAGGAAGGCGCCAGGCTTGGTGGCTCAGCCTGTAATCTCAGCACTTTGGGAGGTTGAGGCGAGTGGGCTGCCTGAGCCCGTAGGTTTGAGACCCGCCCAGGCAACTTGGCAAGATCTCGTCTCTACAATAAAACAAAAATTAGCCAGGCGTGGTAGCGCACACCTGTAGTTCCCGCTACTTGGAAGGCGGAGGCGGAAGGATCACTGGAGCCCAGCAGGTCGAGGCTGCTGTGGCCGGGAGCGTGCCACTGCACTCCAGCCTGGGTGACAGAGTGAGAATCCAACTCAAAAAAAAAAAAAAAAAAAAGGTCAAGGAAGGCATTTTGGGTTTGTTTTAAAATCTCTCCTCAGTCAGGGAGACCTTGATACCTCCTTGGACACTGCAGATGGGTTTACTTGTATAGCTTTTCCAGTTCCCTCTCTTTTTCTTAGCCTGCCTTTACAATCACTATGAGAATCTATTTTCTTAACCACACAATCTACTTATGCAAAATTTTCTAAAATCACTTTAGATGTGCTTTATTTTCCAGCGCCTACAGCAGTGGCTGGCATGTATAACAGGCATTCAACAAGGATTTTCAAAACCAGGACTCAGAATGAGGTGTAAGACATACTTCACACATTAAAAACATAGACCACTAGCCATACAGTGAGCATCTATGGCACCTAAGGAAGTGAACTTTAAAACTTATTTATTTTTAATTAATTTACATTTACTTATGTTAAGGTGGTAAAGTGGATGTTATTCAAAGTGGGCCATGGGGATACCTGGTCTTGCAGTGGGGAAGAGACATGTACTCAATTCCCAATTAATTTAAATGTAAGTATCTACATAAACCTAGCAACTACCATACTAGCCATTGGTGTACAGCTCTAAACAATAACACGAATACCTTTCATTGACCTTACGACAGAAAAATACTTATACAAAACAGAAAAAGCAATAACCATAAGAAAAATATTAATAATTTTATTATATAAATAGCATCTACTTATAAAAATACACCATTCAGAAAATTAAAAGGTAAGTCACAGAACAGAAGATAGTCCCCTCAAATATAACTGACAGAGAGTTCATATGCAAAAAGTATAAAGGAAACCTAAAAATCAGTAAGAAAAATGACATCCAGTAGAAAAATTATAAAGGATTTTAATAGGACACTTCACAAAAGATGACATCCAAAATAGTCAATAAACATACAGGGAAGTTCAACCTCAATGATGATCAAGAAAGCACAGATAAAAATCGCAATAGGATACACTAATAACCCCCAAATGTTCGGCATTTAAAAAGATTGATAATACAAAGCATTGGCAAATGTGGAGCAGTCAGAAAATTCATATATTGCTCATGGGAATAAAAACTGGCGGAATCACTTTTTACAGCGATGCCTGCTCACACTGACCGCCTACCCCAGAGTACAATAATTTCACTCATGATTGCATACCAAAAACATAAGCAAGAGCGACATTTTTCTTAACAGTCACAATCTAGAACAACATAAGCTAAATTGTAGATTCCATTCATAAAAAGTTCTAAAACCACAGGCCAAATCAAGTGAGAAGATATAAGGAAAGAAAAAGGAAGAGATGGGTCTATGGAAGTATGTTTGCTATGTGATAAACCACTCACATTTTATGCACTTTTCTGTGTATATTTAAATAAAGATTTAAACAACACACCACACAAATGGTGCAGCCACTACAGACAACAATGTGGAAGTTCTTTTCCCCACAAAATCTAAAAATGTAACTACAACTACCATATAACCCAACAATCCCACTTCTACATTTTTATTTAAAAAAAAAACAAAAAACTGAAAGCGGGACCTCAGAGAGATATTGGTACATTCATGTTTGTAACAGCATTATCCTCAAGTGCCAAAAGGTGTGAGTAACCCAAATGTCCATTGATAGATGAATGGATAAAGAAAATGTGGTCTATGCAAGCAACGGTATATTATTCTGCTCTAAAAAAGGAAGAAAAAAAAAAGAACATATTTTCCAGCTCTTGTGAGCTTGGTTAAAAATAAAAAAGGAAATACCGCTGAGTGAAATAAGCAGTCATCATCAAAAACTGCATGACGCCACTCATACCCAGTGTCTATCGTAGCTAAGCTCATAGCACTGGAAAGTTGCATGGTGGCTGGCAGGAGCTGGTGAGAGCAGAAGGTGAATTCCATGGGTGAAGAGCTTCAGTCATACCAGGTGTCCTGAGGATGGACCTACTGCACGACAATGTGCATGTGTTGACAACACTGTACTGTACACTCGAGACTGCTGGAGGGATGAAATTTTGTGTGTCTCTTTGGCCACAGTTTAAAAAAAACAGCACACAGAACTATATACAAATGTTCCTCAACTTACAATGGGGCCTATGTCCCAATAAACCTATAGTAAGTGGAAAATACATTTAACGCTGCAACACAGCAGACTGTTCATGACCTGTCATAGTTCAACTGTACGATGACAGGAAGGTTACGCATGTTCAGTATACTCCTCAAGTTACTATGGGGTTACCTCCAGATAAACTCACTGTGAAGTAGAGAAAACCAGTAGAACCAGAGGAGTCGGGAGAGTCTATATACATATATTACAAAAGCACATTCCAATAGTTACCTAAGTAGAAAGAGTGAAACAGAGGCAAGTCATGCAAATCAAGGGTACCGTGCACACACCTACATACCTATGTGTACACGTTTGTTAAAAGAGGGTGCTTCGCCATGGCCCATAATAGTGATATGTCATGAACTGAACAAACCAAAACAAAATATCAAGCAACAGTAAACCCAGATGTGTTGGAATGACC